GATCAAAACATGTATGCCGTGCATCAGTGTATGTTTGTGATAAGCTGTGAGTTCGTAGCTAAGGTTTCTTTGTTGCTGTTATACACTTATACTGAATGAAGTCATCCAACATTAAGGCCCTTCCACACTCCTCCGATCCTCCCCATTAGAGCTGTCAATTCAGGTATTCAAGTCAGGTTCGCATCGAGTCAAATCAGGATCAGGTTGTGTCGGGTCAGTCGAGCCACAGATCAGGTTCCAGTCGAGTCAATTTCGATTCAGGTTACTCTGGGTCGTTCATCCTTCGGGTGTAGGTCGGGTATGTTCGAATCAAATTCATAACGGGTTCAATTTCAGGTTCGGGTTGTATATTGAGTCAGGTTTGGTCGGGTTAATAAATGATACATTCGGGTTCAGGTTAAGGTTGGGTCAGATAATTATTTTATTTGGCCGGATAATTTTAAAGTTGGATCATTCTTGGTTTAGGTTCAAGTTCAATTCGAATTAATTCGATTAGTCAAGTTAATTTATTTAATTACGCTCTGCATAATTTGTTCAAGCATTATCAAGATTTTATCACACCTATATACGAAGTAATAAAGAACAAAAGGTATATAAATTTTTATTAAACGTCCTTGACTCGCTTCAATAACATGTTGTGTTGGTTTATAAACGTTTTCAGGTTCTAATAGGGTTGGGTACTAGTTTGGGTTGGAATTGTTGTCGGGTCGGATTAAATCGATTGGCGGTTACTGATTAGGGGATTTTTATCCACCAATCACCGTCTACAAGTGGACCAACCAGGTTCCGCCACGTGTCCTTCACGTAGGCCAATAGGAGCCTGCCACGTGTCAATCACAGATACGTCCTCTACGGACCAATTGAGACACGCCACGTGTCCACCCATGCCAAATGGGAAAACCGGCCAACAAGGCCCAATCCTGTTTAGAGGCCCGGTCAGCCCTAGGTTTACCCTAAACCTAGAGAGTGGCACGCTTCTCAAGACTATAAATACTTAATTAATCCTCATTAAAGGGGATCAAGCAATTAATGACTCTCACCTAGAGAAGTCTAAACACACTAATAACCGGCTGATCTCGCTAACAAAGCAGATTACCAACATTAAACACTCTCACCTAGAGAGACCTTATTACTTTAATTTCCGCACTTATTACTCCTTAATCAAGTACTAACTTGACCGTTGGAGGCGGAGCTCCCAGGAGTCTCCGTTATTTTGCAGGTACAGGCGTCCGGTTCCAGTCTCGGAATTGTAACTCTCCCGCAGGACATCAGAAAACCCCGAAACATCTGGCGCCGTCTGTGTGGAGAGTACTTCAGAGATGGCATCCAAGTCTGTACCGACTCCTGAAGAGAGGCGTCCCCTAAACGACCCTCAAGTTCAGTCGGACCATGACACCGAAAGTGAATTTGAAGTTGAAACTCATACAGCTCCAGACGGGACCCTAAGGGCCCGACGTACCCGTCATACCGAAAGGAGGGAACGGGAGCATCTTCAAACAGGAAGCGAGCCAGCAGGCGCATCGCCTGCTCGGCGACAGCCGACTGATGGGTCTGCTCCCATCACAAGGAACGAATTCATGACCTTCATGAGGGACTTCAAGGGAGAGATTCAAGAGTTGATCAACAAGAAGCCGCCTGCTTCAGTCAAGGAGCAGTCAGCCAAGAAACCCTCCACTTCATTGAAGAGGAAGCCAGTTCAAGGGCGAGAGGCGACTCCTCATCCTAAATCTAGGAAGCGGGAACCACCTGCCCTTGATTTCACAAAATTCCGTTATCCTACAGGAAATAGGAAACCGGTTCGTCATATTCAGGCGGACGGGTCAAAGCAAACATTCACAGATGCTCGGCTACTGCTAGAGCAGAAGAAGAGTGACCGATTGTCAGAGTCGGCTTCTACTTCAAACTTTCAAGACAGTTTGCGAAATGTCTCGATGAGGCATACTCAGTCGTACCATGAGAGTCAGTCAGGCGGCACCTCCCGTCAGTCCGGCTTTCATAGTGCCCAGGCGGTACCAAACTTACCATTTGTGCCGCAACAACAGTATTTTATGAAGCCACCTCCATTTGGTGGACCTACAGCAAAAAACGTCCAACCTATGGACTGGCAGTTACGGTTGCTTAGACTTGGTGAACAGCCGTCGGCCTTCTCCAAGGAAATTACTGACGCCGCTCAGCCGGCCAAAGTGAAAAATGTACTAGTAGGCGCCTATGACGGCACTACTAACCCAGAAGACCATCTGATGGCATTCACCAACCTGATGTACCTTCAAGGGTTGGATGATCCCACTTGGTGCAAGTGTTTCCCAGCGACACTCAAAGGAATCGCACAGCAATGGTTCGGCAACCTGCCGACTGGTTGTGTAAATAGCTTCAGGACGCTTGCTTACTTATTTGCCTCCAACTTCGCCATGAACATCCCTGCGAAGAAAACGACCCTTGATTTGGGAACAATTCAGCAGGGCGAGAAGGAGGGGCTTCGTTCTTACATCAGGCGGTTTAACCTGATGAGAATAAAGATTCAAGGGTTACCGGATGAGGTAGCTTATACCGACTTTTTTAGAGGTCTCAAAGACGGGTCTACCTTCAAATTTGATTTGGTTCGAAAAAGGGTGGCGACTCTTCAAGAGGCCTTGATTGAAGCAGAAGCCTATATACAGGCGACTGATCTGTGTACGATAAAACAGTCGGACGGGAAAAGGTTCGACAAAAGAGAAGGACGACAGAAACAGTCGTCAAACAAAGATGAGAAAAGAAAAGAGGTCTGGGCGGCTGATTCCTCTAAACAGCCGGCCCAGAAAAAGAAAAAAGAATTCAAACCATACTCCCCAAAGTATGCGTTTAACAAGGATAACCAGTTTATCCTAAAAGAAATCGAGGGACGGATCTCAATTGAGAAGCCGGTCCCCATGAAGGGTTCTGCAAACAACCGGAACCAAGATAAAATCTGTGCTTATCATGATGACGTTGGTCATCACACCAATGACTGCATCAGTCTTATGCGGTATCTAGACCGCCTGGCTGAGCAAGGTGATCTTGACACTTATGTCAAGAAATCTACGGGGAACACTTCCTCAAGAAAGCTGTCGGCCAAAAAGAATCAACAGGCCGACAGCTCCGATACAGATGATGCAGTCGTCTACACCATTGCAGGCGGCTTCTCAGGAGGCGGCCCCACTATTAGGGGCAACAAAGATAATATAAGGCGGTTAGATGTAAATTCCGTTCACCAAGAACGACCGTCCAAATATACATTTCCTGAGATTGTCATCACTGAAGAGGATCTAGGAGGGGTAAGGGGGCCGCATGACGACCCTCTCGTTATTGAATGTAAAGTGGCCAACCAGAGAGTTGGCCGAATCCTCATAGATACCGGGAGCTCCTCAGATCTCATCAGCAGCAAATGTCTGTCGAAACTGAAATATCAGACTGACTGCATACATCCGGCCTCCCACCCTTTAATAGGGTTTGGAGGAGGAGTCGTCCACCCACTGGGACGAGTAGATTTACCCATTCGCCTGGGCGAAAAAGGGGAAGGACGACACATGGTAGTCCGGTTCCTAGTAGTAGAGGAACTCTCGGCCTACAACATGATTCTGGGTCGACCAACCCTGAATAATTCCAAGGCTGTTATAATCCCGTCTCTTATGTTGCTCAAGTTTGAGAGGGATAATGGAACAGTCGGCTCCCTAAGGGGAGATCAGAGGATGGCCCGAGAGTGCTATCTCTCGGATGTCAAGCCCACTGTTATGGCCATTGGGTCAAGTGGTGAAAAAACAGACCTTGACAATGTCAAGGAGAGTGCACCTGTTCAAGAAGCAGGCGGCAAAAAGAGAAAGGCGTCCCAGACAACGTCCGCAAGAAAAGCAAGGAAATAGCAATCATTGGCAGAGGAGCGGCCGGATGAGTTCCGCCCTCAGCCGGCTGGTGAGCATGCAGACCTGATCTTAGACGACTCACGTCCTGACCGAACTGTCAAAGTTGGGACGACTGCTCTGAGAAACCTTGGTGACGACTTTCACAACCTATTGAAAGAATACAAGGACATCTTTGCATTTGAAGTCCATGAAATGCCAGGCATTAGTCCTGATCTGGCGGTACATAAACTCGCTGTGGATCCGAAAAAGAAGCCGGTACGGCAAAAGAAGCGGAACCATGGCGAAGAAAGAAGTCAGGCGGCAGCCGCCGAAGTTAAAAAATTACTTGATGCAGGGTTCATTCGGCAATGTTACTTCCCAGACTGGGTTGCAAATGTGGTGCTTGTTAAAAAGCCGAATGGCACCTGGCGAATGTGTGTAGACTACACAGGCTTAAACAAGGCGTGCCCCAAAGACAGTTACCCTCTGCCTAAAATTGATAACCTGGTCGACTCAACAGCCGGCCATGCCTTGATGAGTTTCATGGACGCCTATTCTGGTTTCCATCAAATTCCCTTATGGAAGAAAGATCAGGAGAAGACGACCTTCGTCACTGATCAGGGGTTATACTGTTACACGGTCATGCCGTTTGGTCTTAAGAATGCCCCGGCTACCTTCCAACGAATGATAAACACAGTGTTCTTTGATCAGATTGGGAGAAACGTCGAGGCATATATTGATGATATGATTGTCAAGACTAAACTTCAGAAAGATCATCTGTCGGACCTCCGAGAAACTTTCGCCACACTCAGGCGGCACCATGTCATGCTCAATCCCAAGAAATGTCTATTTGGAGTTGAGTCTGGGAAATTTCTCGGATTCCTTATCAATCAGAGAGGAATAGAAGCGAACCCTGAGAAGGTGCAGGCGGTCATTGACATGCAGTCGCCTCGTACCATCCGAGAGGTTCAGAAGTTAACAGGTTGTCTGGCGGCCTTGGGAAGATTTCTAAGCCGATCAGGCGACAAATGCCTATACTTTTTCCAGGCAATTAAGAAAAAGGCAAGGTTTGAATGGGGGCCAGATGCTGAGGCCGCCTTCCAGAAATTAAAAGTTCACTTACATTCCTTGCCGAGGCTGGTCAGCCCTTTGCCCAAAGAGGTTCTCTACATGTACCTGGCCGTCTCTGATCATGCGTTAAGCGCTGTTCTCCTTACTGAAAGGGACGGCTGTCAGCTCCCGGTCTACTTTGTCAGTCACGTACTGAAAAATGCCGAGTTGAGGTATCCCCTAGTGGAGAAATTTGGTCTTGCACTCTTCATGGCTGTTAAAAAATTGAAGCCCTACTTTTTGGCACATACAGTCGTCGTGTATACAGACCAACCTATCAAGCGGCCACTGACCATCATGGAGTCGTCAGGCCGAATGATCAAATGGGCCATAGAAATACAGAGCCTCGAAGTTATTTTCGAGCCTAGAAAAGCAGTGAAGGGGCAAGCCTTTGCTGACTTTATTGTAGAGATGACTCGTCCTCCTGACTCTCAAGTTCCAGACCAAGTATGGAAGGTATATGTGGACGGAAGCTCTACTTCAAATGGTTGTGGAGCATGCGTCATATGTCAGTCGCCAGAGGGCGACAGGTTCGAGTATGCTCTACGCTTCAGTTTTCAGG